TACCCTTCAAGCCTTCTCTAGGATGCCTTTCCAGCCTCTTCCCGGGCATGCTCAACCCTTCCCTCTTACTTTCCTCTGGGGATTCACAGCCCTTTGTACCTGCTTTTTTGTTTGTTATTTCAGATTTGCCCTTTTTTTTTTTGAAGTAGAGTTGATTTACAATATCGTGTTAGTTTCTGGTGCACAGCAAAGTAATTGTACCTGCTTTCTGTATAACAATCTGTTTTCCTGTCTGTTACTCTTTAAACTGGAAACTCCTTGAGGGTAGACACAGCTTTGTTCATCTGTCATCAGCACTCAGTGTAAGGCCCAGCAAGGAAGAAGTGCCAGGAGATGAATGCTAGAAGTTACACAGAAGGAAGCTGGGGGAGGTGGGAGAAGAGTCTGGCCCAGCTTAGTTGTGGGGAGAACCGCTCCCTATGTAGTGTCTGTGCATAGGTGAGGCAGCTAAGGCAGTTTTTGGCTACAATCAGAAGGGAGGAGGGCCCAGAAATAGTTCTTACAGGTTAAACAGATACCTCAGCACAGAAGGCTGTGTAAATGACAAGAGAAACTCCTAGCACATACATTAGTGTGGGCAGTAGAGCGGTGGAGAGAATAGACTGGGAGAGGGGATTCCAGAAAGTGATAATTATTGGAGGCTCACATTCTCAGTGCTAACTGGCACCCCGAAAATTCTCACCATCACCCCTGACTGTGTTCACATGTAAGCATCTCATTTGTTTACACCCTCCTCCCTTGCCTCGGGCCTGATTGTGTTAACAGTTGACCTAATTTTGCTAAAATCTGTTTGCAGCACTCAGGCTGGGAATTCTGCCACCCTCTGGCTCCCCAGGTCCTAACCAGCTTCCCTGGGTTCGCTCTGTTCACCTAGCCAGCCACCTCTGCTCTCATGAAACCTCCATGGTTTCTCTGTGGCTGTGTTCCCTGGTGTGAGGTGGATTCTGAGAGCTGAGCTCCAGTCGGGGCTGTGAGGACAGCTTGCCATATTTTTTCTGATCCCAGGAGCTGGTATTTATTTGCCTTCCACGTGCACTTTATATTGTACCTCCCCTTTCCTGCTAAAACCTCCCTTTCTTCTTCCCTTTTTCTCTCCTTTCCACCTTTGCTGAGTACCTGCTCTGGCCAGCCTCTATGCTAAGTATGAGGCTACAGAGATAAGTAAGTCTTGTGCCCTGGTCCTGAGTAACTCACAGATTACCAGAAGGTGACTGCCATGGAAGCTGAAAAACACACAGGGCCGACCTTGAGATAATACGTGTTTTTAGCTGTCCAAAGAGTGGGTTGGTCAGGGAATCCTAGTTCAGAGGAGAAGGAATGGGCAGGTCTCTGTGAACTGTGGTAGGCTGGGAAGGTGGTGGGAATTGAAGAATAGGATTGAGATTATGATAGGAAGAGGTACATCACTAATAAGGCATAGACTAGACTCTTAAATTCCCTATTTTCCCTTCTTTTTCTGACACAATAGTTTATAGATTCTGTATTTGTCAGGGTTCTCCAGAGAAACAGAACCAATAGGTTATGTATATAGATATATATACGAGGAGATGTATTATGAGAATTGTTTCATGCTATCATGGAGGCCAAGAAGCGCCACAATCTTTCCGTCTGCAAGCTGGGACCCCAGGAAAGCCAGTGGTATAATTCAGTCTGAGTCTGAAGGCTGAGAACCAGGGGAGCTGGTGGTGTGAGTCCTTGTCTGAGTCTGAAGATTGAGAGCCAGGGGAGCTGATGTAAGAGGGCAGGGGAAGATGGATGTCTCAGCTCAAGCTGAGAGAGCATATTTGCCCTACCTCTGCTTTTTGGTTCTGTTCAGGCCCTTAGTGGCATGTGGACGATTGGATGATGTCCAGTCGCATTAGTGAAGATGACCTTCTTTACTTAGTGTACCGATGCAAATACTAATCTCTTATGAAGACAGCTCCACAGACACACCCAGAAATAATGCTTTACCAGCTATTCAGACATCCCTTAGCCCAGTCAAGGTGACACATAAAGTAAACCATCACAGATTCCCTTAGGACTGTGGGGTTCAGCCCGGGGCCCCACTGAAGGGAACTGACAATTCTCACATCTACTTCTCCAACTCCTACCTCTTCCTCAAATTCCACATCTACATTCTTTATTACCTATGGGATATGCCCATCTAAATGTCTCCAAACACCTCAAAGCACTTTCATTTACAACTATGCTTTTGATCTTTTAGTAATTCTGTGATAATGCATTTTACAGTTGAGGAAGCTGAGACCCAGATGGGGGAAATGAATTTCATGACAGATTGGGGCAGAGGCAAGCATAGAACCCAGACTTCCTCATACTAAGTGCAGGATGCTTCCTCTGATGAAATAAAAATTTCTCTACATGAGGCCTTACGTGTAACCTCAAAGGCCTGGCCATTCAGCCTTTGGATCTTCACTGTCCTGATGACAGTGCCACAGCCAGCTCCCAGCATGTTGTTTCGTGGGAAAACTCAGGCCTTGGAATCCTTAGAGTTGAACTCAGGCTAGATCAGGGGATATAGGCATCTCCATGGTGAGAGATGTTTGCATGTAGTAAAACAGAAACAATACCTGCTGCATGAGTATGAGAAAGTGGGGTGTAGCAGAAAGACCGTGCAGTCAGGCAAATCTGGATTTGAATCCAAGCTCTGTCACTTTTTATGGACTCTGGCAAGTCAGTGCCTCTCTGGAGCCTCAGTTTTCTGGTCTACAGGATGGGAAGACTCTACCTTATAGAATAGTTGTGAGAATTTGAAATGAATATAAATGCCCGTTCCATTTTATATTTTCTCTATTTCCTTTCTTTGCTTATGTGGATTAAAGAGAGGGAGATATCACACTTGAGGCTTGTCAGTGAAGATTCAATCCCACTAATATTTATTGAATACCTTCTGTGTGCTGGTCAGTGCTGTGCTGGGCACTGGCCTACAGACGAGGGATGATCAGTAGGGGCCACAGAGTAAACCAGCTAGATTAGACTTATTTTCTTCCCGCCAAGCTTGGTAGCCCACGGGATGCGACAGGCAGTATATTTGAGCTTCAGCTATGCATTTGAAAAGGCAGAGGGATATATGGGATGGATGCTTGTGTATTTAGGTGGAGTCAAAACTGGCTGAAGAGACCCAGGGGGTGACTGATAGAGCCTATCCTTGCCCCTGGTCATTCAGTATTTTTATTTATGCGTTGGATGAGAATATGAAGCTGGGAAAAATAGGATCTTGTTTCAAATCGATCTAGAGAAGGTAGAATAAGGGACTGAATAGAATAGATCCGCGCCCAATCTGTATGCCCACCTTAAGAACTTTGAAGTGTTGGAGGTAATAGGGGGAGGGTGCTGGTCGCATGGAGTCTTGTTTGAACAGAGTACCTTTGACTTTGAGTAGGAACGTAAAGGAGATGTTGATGGTGAGAAACCCTGGGAAGCCAAGATGAAAAGTCTTTAATAAACAGGGGAGACAAACAGTACCCCAGCCTTTGGTGGAGGCTGGATAGGAGGCAGGTGTGTTCCAGAAAGGAAAGCAGCTCACTGTGCTGCAGAGATATCCCTTCTTGGGACCTGAAGGACGGGAGAGTGGGGACTTGAGAATGGCTGGAAGTATAGACCTTCCAGGAAGCTAGAGGATGGCCGCTAGAGGACCCTCAGTTCTCTCTGTTAGAGTCTGGCATAAACACGTAAAGGACACGGCTACACCCTGGACCTAGTAACTCCCCTCCCTTGGATGGAAATAGAATGTGCTAATCTGTCCTTGACCCCACACCATCCCCAGGTCCTACTGCTCAGCCTTTCAATGAGGAGCTATGAATATAACCCTTTTTGTCAAACTGGGCCTCAGCTCCATGCAGTGGGATTTCAGCTCCATGTGTCTTTTCCTGCTGTCTAGACCCTGCCTCAACTCGGTGGCTCCACTGGATCCTTTTGGATTCCCCTCAGCCCCTTGTCCTTACTGGGCACGGAAATCCCGTCAGTCCTGCCTCCCCCTCCCCAACACCAGGTGACACACTGTGCACAGGACGTCATTACCTCTTTTCCCTCGTCTGGGGCCCCTCTGAGCCATAGCTGCTCTATCTCAAGTGGAGTACAATGCAGGCAGGGCCTACAGGAGCAGGCTCTTTCCCTCCTGGTGTCTCTTTCAGTCTCCTGTGCTGTGGCCGAGAGCCCAGGTCTGGCACACCGGGACCAATCTCAGACTCCAGGACTGCCCCTCTTCTGGCTGGCTCAGTTCTTGGGACATGGTTTTTACTCTTATCTTCTGATGTTATTCCTTGTCTAGCTTTTTGGTTTTGCTCTGGAGACTGAGCATTGCTTTGAACCCCAGCTGGCGGCCAGGGCCCTCGCACCTCACCAGATTGCTGCCAGGCCTTCCCTGGAGGTATTCTCTCTTCCTGGCACATGTCATGTCTTAATGTGTACCAATCTCTTGATGCTACTCCTGTTCTACCTGGTCTCTGGGCTGAGCCGCAGCCTAGAAATGCTCTCTGTAGATGAGACTTGCAGACCTTTACCTGCTCTGTTCTTTGTACCTTGTACCTAGAATAGCCTCGTAGTCCAGGAGACCCAGCTCCTGCAATAATCTCAGTCCCACAGCCAGTCCTCAGGCTCCAGTGACATTGCTTGGTACCCTTACCAGCCATCCCCTTCTACCTAGTGTAGCACTGTAGCCTTGCTTACCCTGTAGGGTAGAAGCCACTGCATCTGGGCACATGGGCTCATCGCAGCCCAGAATGGCTGGGATGTATTGAGAAGGCACTAGTTCTCTTCACTGCGTATTAGGAGAGTATGATCCAGTAAGCTTCCTGTATTGCTCTAAGGCCTCTCATCCTTTCCAAACTAGGCCTTGACTTAGTAGAGAAAATGGCACAGAGTGTGGCCAGTGTGTGTCTAAGAAGAGAAACGACTTCCTCCTGAGCGGGAAGGCTTTGTGGAGGAGGGGATGCAGCAGAGTCTGCAGGGCTAAATGTGTAGTGGGCACCCTGACTCACTGTGCCCTTCTTCTCTGGCAGTGACCCGCCATAATCACCTCAAGGACTTCATGCTTGTGGTGTCTATCGTTATTGGTGTGGGCGGCTGCTGGTTTGCTTATATCCAGAACCGTTACTCCAAGGAGCACATGAAGAAGATGATGAAGGATCTGGAGGGCTTACACCGAGCTGAGCAGAGTCTGCATGACCTTCAGGAAAGGTAAGGCCCTGTCCCTTCCCCACGGCCCTGGTGCTGCCATCTCTTGAGAGCCTCCAGTTTCCACCTGCGCTGTGGGCCGTCTGGCTCCTGAGACCCTGCCGACGACGTAGAGGCCCAGGCTGTGTCATCCTTCCAAACCTGCATCAGAGCCTAGGTTCCTGCCATTCCATTCGCACAGGCAAGTATTCTTCCCCAGGGCAGAAGCTTATTTCTCTCTTTTCTCCCTCGGAGCTTCAGAGGGAGAAGTGTGGAGCTGTCAGAGGTCTTGAGCTTCCCTGGTTGGATGACTAGTTAGGGGTCATTCTATCCTCCGTCCCACCTCTGGACTGCTTCCCTTCCCATAGAAGTAGACATAATTAACTGTTCTTCACTGTTTCCCAAAGAAACCTCACAAATCCGTCTTCCTAATACCTTTCATGCTTTCTTGTACAGCATCTAAATCTCATGAGACTCACTTGTTGTATGACTTTGGGTAAATCCCTTTCCTTTCTGGGACTTATTTCCTCATCAGTAATGTAAAGGCATTGAACTAGGAGAATACCAGGGCCTTCTAGCTCTGATAGTCTGGTATTCTGTTTAAATAAAACATGGCTTAGAAACTATTGTAGAAGATCTAGCTGTGAAGAGAAGGTGCCAGTCAGTCAGCCAACCTAAGTATTGGGTTGGCCAAAAGTTTCCTTCGGTTTTTAAAGTAAAAATAAAAGACACATTTTTCATTTTCACCAAGAACTTTATTGAACAGTGTATTCACTGTTTTGTTCCACTACCTTCTGCCATTTTTCAGACAGCTTCGTAGTTCCATCTCCCCAAAACTTTTTATCTTTTTGAGCAAAGAACCGTTCCAGGTGCCTTTTACAGTCTTTCAGGGAATTGAAATTTTTTCCATTAAGAGAATTTTGTAAAGACCGAAATAAATGGAAATCCGAAGGTGCAATATCTGGTGAATACGGCGGGTGAATCAGAACTTCCCAGCCAAGCTGTAACAGTTTTTGCCTGGTCATCAGAGAAATATGCGGTCTTGCGTCATCCCGATCAAAGATTATGCATTTTCTCGTGAATAATTCTAGACGCTTTTCGTCGAGTGCTGCTTTCATTTGGTCTAATTGGGAGCAATACTTGTTGGAATTAATCGTTCGGTTTTCCGGAAAAAGCTCGTAATAGAGGACTCCCTTCCAATCCTACCATATACATCACCTTCTTTGGATGAAGACCGTTCTTTGGTGTGGTTGGTGGTGGTTCATTTCACTTGCCCCACGATCTCTTCCCTTCCACATTATTGTACAGTATCCGCTGTTCATCGCCCGTCACAATTTGTTTTACAGACAGAACATTTTCGTTACACTTAAGTAGAGAACCGCATGTGGAAATACGGTCAAGAAGGTTTTTTTGCTTAACTTATGTGAAACGCAAACATCAAAGCGATTCACATAACCAAGCTGGTGCAGATGATTTCCTACATTTGATTTGGATATTTTGAGTATGTTGGCTATCTCCCGCGTGGTGTAATGTTGATTATTCTCAACTAATGTCTTGATTTTATTGCTATCAACTTCAACTGGCCTACCTGACCGTGGAGCATCATCCAGCAAGCACGAAACTTCGCAAACCACTTTTGACATGTTCAGTCAGTCACAGCACCTTCTCCATACACTGCACAAGTCTTTTTCTGTGTTTCATTTGTGTTTTTATCTTTCTTGAAATAATAAAGCCTAATAAGCTGAAAAATGTTGTTTTTTTCTTCCATCTTCAATATTAAAATGGCTACACAAAAAATTCACCAATTTTTTTTTTTTTTTTTTTTGCGGTATGCGGGCCTCTCACTGTTGTGGCCTCTCCCGTTGCAGAGCACAGGCTCCGGATGCGCAGGCTCAGCGGCCATGGCTCACGGGCCCAGCCGCTCCGCGGCATGTGGGATCTTCCCGGACCGGGGCACGAAGCCGTGTCCCCTGCATCGGCAGGCGGACCCTCAACCACTGCGCCACCAGAGAAGCCCAAAAAATTCACCAATTTTGATAAGTTTGTTTTTAAATGCATGCTGATATGACAGCTGTCACAATACAATCTAACAAAATTGTTTCTAATGAAGTTAAAGACAACTAAGCGCTACTGGAACCATCTTACAGAGAAAAACCAAACGAACTTTTTGGCCAACCCAACACTTCCTGAAGTCTAGGAATCAGGTCTGTGCAGGGAATTGTAAGGAAGTCACTGCTCCTGGGGCCACAAAGCTCACACTTAAGAAGGAGCAGTGACTCAGTGCCAGCTTATGGGACGAGAGCTTCAAGGACTGGAAGGGCACAGAGGTAGGAGATGAGTGGATGTGGAGTCTGAGGAGGTGGCCTTGAAAGACGGGTAGGAAAGATGTAACCTGGTAGTTCTGGTTGAATGTATAGAGTGAGGCCAGATCCCTGGCACCTACAGACTCACATGGAGAAATTTAGCAGGATGCAAAAGGCAATAGAGTCAATGTAGGTATTTGGCTTTTTTGCTTTGTTTTGGTTTTGAGAAAAGGAGAAGCCTACTTCAGGACTGTCTTTTAGAAAATTATTCCAACAGCCTAGGGGCTCCAGTTGGGAAGTCTTTGCAGGAATCCATGTAAAAAGGAATGAAGAAGTCTGGCTCTTTTCTGTTATTTTAAAATGATAGATATAATTTTCTTTGGAGGGATGGGGAAAGGATTTCTTAAGAGCTAGGTATTGTTAAGTACTTAAATGTATTATTGTTTTTAATCACCACAACCCTGTTAGGTAGGTATTGTTATCCCAATTTTCAAGTTGAAGAAATGAAGCCTCAGAGAGGGTGAGTGTCAGTAAGTAGTAAGCTAGGAATTTCGACACCCACAGGGTGCTGCCTCAATAAAGGCAGGCTTAGCAGATTCATTTCCATGGGCTGGACTTTTAGGAGGCAAGTGGAGTTTTATCTTGGAGCCGATTCCTGGCTACTTTGCTGGACCCCCTTGTTCCTGGGCCCTTTTCCAAACGGGGGCTAAATGCTGCTATGTGGGCAGTCCCCGTTCTTCATTTGTCTGAAAAACATGTACTGTTTTCATTCCAAAGGCAAAGAATCTAGGCAGGAGACATTCCAAGTTTGGGGATAAAACTAAGCTCCCAGCCCTCCCTGCTCCGCACGGCCTCCAGAGCTAAATGACCACTGCGGCACTTGGAGAAACAAATGCACACACTCCCCAAAGACAGGCTTGCACCTGTGCACACACATATCCTCCTCTGACAGTGTCCAGAGCCCATGTCCCTCCTTGTCCCTCCTCACTTTGGCAGGGCTACACTGTCAGCCACCAAAGAGCTTTTTTACAGAGTTCCTGATATTTTGGGTGAATAAATGTAATGCTACATGTGCATTCCAGTTAGGATTTCACTGGGTTTCAAGATAATTCTTTGAGGCAGGCAGGAATTTTGATTCCCATTTACAAAGGAAGAAACAGGCCTAGTCCAGGGAACAGACTTGTCCATAGTCATACAGCTGCTTAGAGCCAGGGCTTGCAGTCAGGCTGCCTGATTTTCTTGCTTGTAATGGTAACTGATTGCTGCCTTCAGGGTGCTCAGTCTTCTGTGGAGGAGATGTAGTGAGACAAGGCTTGATTGTATATTCATTTTCTCATTTCTGTACCCAGTGGTATTTATTGATCTTCATCTCTATTAGATCCTGTTAGGGTTATGAAAGTGGGTCAGTTCTGATTCTACTTTAAAAGGAGCTCCCTATTGTATGGAGAAGACAGGCATATCACAGGCTTTTCAGAAGAGGCTGCTTCCGGAGAGGATAATATTTCAGTGAAGAATCGAATCCCTAGTGGTGTAATTTCAAGCAGTGGGGTCATGGAAGAATACAATAAAGGAGGACATTCAGCAAGGGGAAGGTGATGGGGCTGGAAATGGCGCCTCTGATTTGTTTTTAGCTGTGCATGTAGCGCCACCTGCTGTATACCTTAAGGAGGTTCAACTCCCTTTCACTCCAGGAACAAAGTAGATAGAAGGCTGCAGTTTGTCAGCAGGAAGCTTGCAGCCTAGACATTTTTCCTCTTCCCTCCTTACTTGTCACCACATCTGTTGAGGCTTCAGTCACTGACACATCTGGACTTGGGATTATTTAGAGGCTGAGTTCTGTTTCTGCCTCTTCTGTTTCACCTTCTTAATTAACTCAGCGGTCAGTGCCCTTCTCTGTGGGCCCTACTTGTTCTGTATCCTATCCTTCCTCTTCTGTACCTCAAGTCTAAAGCCATATATCACTTGTCTTCTTCCTCATCCTTTCCCCCTCTTATCCTGGTTCCCCGGTAACTTGGTGGTTCCTACTAAGATCGGAAGACCTGACAGTGGCTAAGTCCTTTCCCTCTTCCAGAGGGACTAGCCAACTGTTACTCTTTCTTCTGGGTCTAGTCCCAGGCCTCACCTTCCCTGACTCCTTTCAGGCAGAGTTGATCACCCCATCCCTGGGGCCTACCCAACACCTTGTATATCTCTCTATCATAGAACTTATCACACTGTGTGCACCTATCTGTTTACTTGTTTATATTGGACTAGATTATGAGTACCTCAGCAGCAGAGACAGTTTTCTCACTCATTTCAATATACCTAGGGCTCAGCACAGGGCTTGGCATTTAGTAGATGCCTTAAAGTACTTGGTGAATGAATGGATGGATGAATGAATGAACATAGATATGTGGCGGAAAGAAGGGAGGAAGGAAGGAAGCTTGGTTGGATGGATGAGAGGTTTTGTCAGTAAACAGAGGGAATGTGTGGGTGGGTACAAGGGCATATTTTCATTATAACTGATGCCCTTGAGATCTTACCCACCATGGAAGATACTTAGGAAGGGAACTCAGGGCTGGGGGCAGCAGGGGCTCTCCCAAATCCTGTCCAGCCCCTTTGGCATGAATTTCATTTTTCGGTGCTGCTGGGAACAGGTACTCAGGAGTCCAAGAGGTACAGCTCAATAGTTCCTCTCTCATCTTCCTTAAATCCCCCCCACTACCACCACCCCTGTCACATCTCACCATCAGGCTTTCTCTGGGTCTTTGGTCTAGCTTGCAGGGTTTTCTACATTTTTTGCACCTTCCAGATGCCTTGGTATAAGGGTAGTAACTGTGGGATTTGAAGACATACAGATTGGAATTCTGGTCTCAGTTCTACATGCAGTTAATTCCTGTCTCTAAGCCTTCATGTCCGTATCTGTCCCAGGCTTATAATGATACAATATGTCATTATCTGCAGGGAGAACAAATGTGAAATACCTTGTAAATTAGTAGTTGTTACGATCTGAGTATGTGAGACACCTTAGAAGGAAGGATTCAGGTACCCAGGAACCTAGCTTCACAGCCTTTATTACTGGCAGTAGAATGATGGCCCACATGAGAATTATGGTAGTGACCGTGGTTTCTGTTGGCCCTGAGCTACCTCAGAGCCAGGCAGGCAGCAGAGTAGGGAGAATATGTTCAGAGTGCTGGAGCCCTCATTTTCCTCTTGGATGCCATGCCTCGTGGCGTGTTGGCTGGCGCCCGCTTGCCTGGCCTTCTCCAGCTCCCCGCATCGCCCCCCAGGCTGCACAAAGCTCAGGAGGAGCACCGCACAGTGGAAGTGGAGAAGGTACACCTGGAGAAGAAGCTGCGTGATGAGATCAGCCTTGCCAAGCAGGAAGCCCAGCGGCTGAAGGAGCTGCGGGAGGGTACTGAGAATGAACGGAGCCGCCAAAAATATGCTGAGGAGGAGTTGGAGCAGGTAGGGGAAATCTGCGAATTCTTGGACACCCCGAGGGGGTGGGGTAAAAGGGCAGGGGCCAAAGGTCTGGCTAAGAGTAGTGGGAAAGTTGCAAAAAATGGTCACTGCAGTTGTCAAAGAACAGTGAATAACAGGTGGTAACAGTTATTTTGTTCCTTTTTAATTGAGGTATTTACATAAAGTATACAAATCATAAGTATACAGCTGGCACACTTTTACATATGCATGTACTTGTGTAACGACCATCCAGATCAAGATACAGACTCTCTTAAGCACTCAGAAGGCTCGCTTTTGCCTCCCCTTTCTCCCTGTCAGTATTCCACCCAAAAGGTAACTACAGTCTTAATCTCTAAACCAGATTAGTTTCACGTGCTTTTTGAACGTCATCTAAATAGCATTATACAGTATGTATTCTTTTGTGTTTCGTTTCTTTCACTCAACATTGTGTCTGTGAGAGTCATCCATGTTTCATGTAGTGATAACTGATTTATTTCCATTGCTGAGTATTAATCCATTGTATGAATATACTGTAAATTATTTATCCATTCTCCTGTTGATAGACTTTTGGGTTGTTTGCAGATTTTTTTTTTTTTTTGCAGTTTATCAATGACATTGTTTATGAACCTCCTTGGTGGGCATCACTTATTTCTGTTGGATATGCAGTAGGTCATTTATATATTTAACTTTATCAGAAATTGACTATTTTCCAAAATGGTTGTACCAATCTATACTGCCACCAGCAATAGTGTGCGAGTTCTAGTTGAGCTACAACCTTGGTATTTTTAGGCATTTTCATTTTATACATTCTGATATGGATGTAATGGTATCTCATGGTGATTTTAATTTTTATTTTCCTATTGACCAATAATATTGAATACCTTTCCATAAGTTTATTGACCACTTTATTTGGGAATCTCTTCTAATTTAAAAAATTGGGTTGTATTTTTTCTTAATTGATTTGTAGGAGTTTTAAAATATATTCTGGATGTAAGTCTTCATGTCTATATATATATACATACATATTGCAAATATTTTCTCCCAGACTGTGGCTTGCTTTTTTGCTCTTTTAATATTGTCTTTTAATGAACAGACGTTCTTGACTTTAATGAAGACCAATTACTCAATCTTTTTTTTTTTAATGGTTGATGTTTTTTGTGGCCTGTTTAAGAAATCTTTTCCTAACTCCAAGATATTTTCCTCTAGAAGCTTTATTGTTTTACTTTTCACATTTAGGGATATGGCTTATTTCAAACTAATTTTTATGTATAAGATGAGATAGGAGATCAAGATTTTTTCCCAGGTAGATACGCTGTTCTGTGGTCTATATGTCTATCCTTATCCCACATTGTCTTACAACAAGTCTTGATATCTGGCAGTGTTAGGTTCTCCAGCTTTGTCCTCCTGCCAGATGGCCTTGGCTATTCTAGGTTCTTTGCATTTCCATGTTGGCTTGTCATTCCGTTACAGTGTGCTCTGCTGGGATTGTTATTTGTTTTTACATTGAATCTATAGATTAATGTGGGGGAAAACTGACACTTTAACCAAATAATTATTCTAATTCATGAGCACTGGTTATCCTGTCACCTATTTAGGTCTCTAAAAATTTCTCTCAACAATGTTTTGTAGTTTTCAGTGTAGAAGTCTTGCACTTAAATTTTTTTTTAACTTGTTCTTATTTTTCTAGCTGCTTGAGATGGAAGAATAGGTTATAGATTTTAAACCTTTAATCTTTTCTAACACATGCATTTAGAGCTATAAATTCGCATCTCAGCACTGCTTTAGCTGCATTTACTAAGTTTTGATATTTCATATTTTCATTATCATTCACTTCAAAATATTTTCTAATTTCCATTGTGATTTCTTATTTGGCCTGTGGTTATTTAGAAGTGTGTTGCCTAATTTTCAAACACTTGGGTACTTTCCTATTTATCTTTCTCATTGATTTCCAGTTTAATTTTGCTGTGGTCAAACAGTGTGTGCCATAGGGTTTAGTCCTTTCCAATGTGCTGAGACTTGGTTGATGTAAAGAGACTACACAAAACGATTGAAAGGCAAAGTGTCAGACTGGATAAAAAACAAAACCCAACTATATGCTGTTTACAAGAGGCAAGCTTTACAAATAAGGATACAAGATGGTTAACAGTAAAAGGATGAGAACACTAGGATAAACACTAAGCAAAATAAAGCAGCTGTAGCTATATTAATATCAGACAAAGAAGACTTTAGAGAAAGAAGTATTACTAGAGACAAAAATGGACATTTCACTTATGATATGTGTGAATTAAACAGTAATATATAACAACCTTTAATTTGGTACACCTAATAATATAGTTAAAATACATATGTAAAGCAAAAGTTAAGAAAACTAAAAGGACAAATTCATAATCAAAGTTAGAGATTTGAGCATCTATCTCTCAGTAATAAGCAGCCAAAAATATCAGTAAGGATATAAAAAATTTAAACATGGTTAATCAATTTCACCTCATTGGTGTATATAGAGCATTTTACCCAACAACTGCAGAATACACGTTCTCTGTAGTGTGTATTATGCTTAGTTCTGTTCTTTATTTCTCTCTGTGCTTTGGTTTGGTTGTTTTATATTGATCTGTCTTTGAGTTCCCTAATCCTGTGTTCTGCCGAGAATTGTGCTATTTAGCCCATCCAGTGGAATCCTACTCTCGGATAATGTATTTTTCTAGAATGCCCTTTCATAGGGCATTTTCTAGAATGCTCTTTTATAGGTTCTCATTCCCTGTCCAGAGTCTCCATGTTTTCATGTTTCCTGTCCATCTTTTCCCATATTTTCTTTAACATTTCAATCATAGTTGTTTTAAAGTCCTTGACTGGTAACTCTTAACATCTGGATCATTTGTGGGACTGCTTATTTTTTCTCTTGATTATTGCTTATATTTTCCTGCCTCTTCTCATGTCTAGTAATTTATTTTTATTAAATGCTGGACAGTGTGCATAAAAAATAATAGAGGCTGCAGGTGATTTTTAATCTTCCATCAGATATAGGGTTCTGTTAGGTATGTTGGGTGAGGCTCTGATTGCCTCAAGCCAATGAGAGACTGACATATGTTGGAACTGGGTTGTAGTTTAATAAGACTTGGTCTAAGGCTCATTTGTCCCAGTTTCTCAGGTATGCCCCTTCCTGACTTGTTATTCAGATCTGGTGGATTTCTTTCTCCTCAGCCCTGAAAGGCTATGAGAGATTCATTTCTGCCCCTTGGAGGTTTTTTTTTTTGCGGTACGCGGGCCTCTCACTGTTGTGGCCTCTCCCGTTGCGGAGCACAGGCTCCAGACGCGCAGGCTCAGCGGCCATGGCTCACGGGACCAGCCGCTCCACGGCATGTGGGATCTTCCCGGACCAGGGCACGAACCCCTGTCCCCTGCATCGGCAGGCGGACTCTCAACCACTGTGCCACCAGGGAAGCCCTCCTTGGAGGTTTTTAAGTTAGCGCTTTGTCCTCCTGCTCCTCATAGCTTCAAAGTTTTGCAGCTACATCAAACTGCTTTTAATGTAGAACTTGATCTTACACTTCCAGACTCGGTGTATCAGCCTCTAAGGTATCTGTTCCTCATTTTAAATCTATAAAGCCAGGAGTGGGCCATTTTATAGTTTCCTTTTCAAGGAGCAAAAACCAATTGATGCTTCATCTTGTCATTGGCTTTCAGAGGAATGAAGGTGTTCTGTCCTTAGCTAAGGCCCTCCCGGTATATATTAGGTTCAGGGGAGGACCTCAGGCCTGCTATGGGATACTTCCCCAGTGGCTGAAGTTGGGCATGAGACTGCTCTCAATCTCTTTTCTCTGGGATTCTGACCAGCTAAAAGTCAGTGTTCAGATGGGGGAGTTGGGGATCATTTATACTGGTAGGCTGGGTGAGATAGAAGGAATTCAGTGAATATAATGGATTCTGTATATACTCTCAGATTCATGCTTAAGTGCTTTGTGACCATCTGCTTCATTTTATGCTCCTTGCTGAGAAGTCAGTGAGGAGGTTTCTGCTTACACATTGGTCCTTCCATATCTTGGCCTCTGTTGGCAGTGCCCATGTTAGGTATAAGCTTGCTTGTTGTTTTCTTGCCTTGTAGAGAGTGCCTATTACAGCCTACCCACCCATCTCAATGGGAGAATCACTGATAAAGTCTCTGGGCTGGAGGAGACTTTGGAGAGTATTCAGGCCAATCCCCTTCTGGATCAGCAATCATTTTGAAGGTCTTTCAGACATGAGCTCTTTACATACCTCTCATGACGGGGAGCTCACGCTCTCCTGAGATCACCCCTTCGCTTACAGTTTGGATTTGCATGGGAGAAAGCCTTACACTGATTGAGGTCTGCTTTAGGAAACACATGGTCACACAGCCAGTTGAGTGACAGACCAGGGACCAGATCATATTTCCAGACTCCCAACCAAATGCTTTTCCTGCCACATTGTGATGTCTTGGGTCCAGGAACAGACCCAACTGTCAGAAAGAAGAGGATTTATTGAGATAGCCTGTACCTTACGAGAGCAGGGAAGATTGCTGAGATTGGCTATATGATGAGGAGAGGCAACCAGTATGTGAGAACAGATTGCTCTACTCTGGCAGCAAAAATAAATAAATAAATAAATAAATCTCCATCTGAGTTCTGGTTGACACTACTGACTGTGTGACCTTGAGGAGGTTACTTTCCTTCTCCAAGCTTGGTTTCTTGTATGTAAAATACAGAGAATAATCCTTGCCCCTTCTCCCTCTTGGGAGAGTTGTGAAGCTTAGGTGAGACAGAAGAAAAGAACTCTGAAGTATCATACAGAGGCATTGGAGAGGGTCTTAGTAGTAGTAAGGACTCACATCCTCTTGGCTACACAGGTCCGGGAGGCCTTGAGGAAAGCAGAGAAGGAGCTGGAATCACATAGCTCATGGTATGCTCCAGAGGCCCTTCAGAAGTGGCTGCAGCTGACACACGAGGTGGAGGTACAGTACTACAACATCAAGAAGCAAAATGCCGAGAAGCAGCTGCTGGTGGCCAAGGAGGGGGTGAGACCTGCCTTCCTGCTGCCCTCTTGTCTCCCCCCACCCTCCTTTCACCTGCCTTTCTTCCTCCTCTCTGCCTCTCTATATCCCTCCTATTGGACACAGAGACATCCTGGTGTTGGGTTTTGTTTCTTTTCCTGATAATACAGTTTCTAATAATGTCTTCAGGCTTCTGGAGGAGGGAATGAGGGTGTGGGGCTACTCCCACCTGCCTTTTGGGAAAGATGAAGCAAGTGGAGGCAGGTAGAGGGAAGTCTCTGCTGGCCCCAGACTGACATGGGGACAGAATCCTCCTGGGGCCAGGATCCCTCTGCTTGTCTCACTGCCTCTATTTTCTTTCTTCCCCTATGCTTTTCTCTCCTGTTGCCTTCTGTTTTCCTTTCCCTTCTTGTCTTCCTTCTTCTTGTGCAGCCTAAGCTGTGCTAGGAGGAAGGGGAACCAGTCACAGAATAGCATTTCTCATTTCTCCAGCCTCTATCCCTGCTCTTTTTAAGCTGAGGGCCTCATCTTTGCAGGCTGAGAAGATAAAAAAGAAGAGAAACACACTCTTTGGCACCTTCCACGTGGCCCACAGCTCTTCCCTGGATGATGTGGATCACAAAATCTTAACAGCTAAGTAAGTAGCCCCTGTTGCCCAGCTCTGGCGATGTCCATCCCATCCTCAGAGTCGGAGGTCGTCCAGGGCCTCCAGCCCTGACTCTGCTTCTTCACTGGTAGAGGTACAGCTCTGGTCTCGTGCCGCAGCCCTTGGCTATTTCCCACCTTGCTCTTAAGTTTATGATTTAATTGTGTTTCTTATTTACACATATCCCCCCAACTTGCTCCTCTGAGAAGCAGCCTCACTTCTGTTGGGGCTCACACCCATGCCTGCCATTTCCTTTCATCCCTCTTCAGGCAAGCTCTGAGCGAGGTGACGGCAGCACTGCGGGAACGCCTGCACCGCTGGCAACAGATTGAGATCCTCTGTGGCTTCCAGATTGTCAATAACCCTGGTGTCCACTCCCTGGTGGCTGCCCTCAACATAGATCCCAGCTGGATGGGTAGTACGCGCCCCAACCCTGCCCACTTCATCATGACTGACGATGTGGACGACATGGATGAGGAGATTGTGTCACCCTTGTCCATGCAGTGTAGGTGACCTCTTGGCTGGGGAGGAGGGAAGGAGCCTTTGATGTGCAGATTGAGAAGTTGGCCTCTGCTGTGCTTAAGCAACATATGGGGCAGAAACCAAGATGGTTTAACTCATGACCTTGGTTAGTAAAGCATAATCCGCATCAAGATACCCCTTTATAATTGTCCTTTTGGTGGTTTTCCCTTTGCTATATATTCTGTTTACCCTATGGGTCTGTTGTGTTAAGTGTGTCTCCCTTCACTCTTTGTGTTTTTTTTAATCTCTTTATTCTCCTTTCCCCCCGCTCCTATCTATCTTTATAAAAATAATCTCCTTTAGTGGTTCATAATATAAAAATGGCATTCATTTTGACTACTTATTGCTTTAATTGGTTTTAATTTTATATTCCTTACTTTTAACTGCTAAAGTAGTTGAATGGAATGATGTCTCTTTCTTTTTGTTTTTTCGTGTGAGGCCCCAGGAAGCAATAGTCCCTTACGGTAAAAGAGCCCTAAATCCTCCAAGCCAGAAAGACATTCTTGTCCAGGAGGGATCTCCTGCACAAGCATGTCTGTCTTTCCACCTGAACTCTCGGCCATCCCCACCCTCTGTCCTGGGTCTTCCCTCTTCCTTTTCTCCCCTGCGAGTGGTAAGAGCTGAGTAGAGCAGAATTGAAGGAGACAGCACTCTGTGGGAATTCTTAAGTGAAGGAAGGGACATACCCCTTACTGACCCTGTTGAATTTTTCTCTGGATCAGAGGCTATTTTAGATAAATAGGATAGACTTTTATGGAAAAGCTCTTGTGCTGGGCCCATATCCCATGAGTGCAGAGGGGATGGCAGAAAGCTGGGCTGGGTTAGGGGCTCACTTTCAGAAAGTCAGATTCTTTAATCAGGCTGGATTCCAGCTCCAGACAGGATTTATTTGTAAGTTTCTTCAGCGATAGTCTGCCTCTGGGCAAGCCTCTTCTTTCCCTGGGCTGTTAACTTGGCAGGGCTTTAGTCAGAGGCCCAGCAAGGTTAGGATCCCTAGCAGGTAGAGCTTGATCTTGATGTATTGACCTAAAGGCTCCCATGTTCTCCGGGTTGGGAGGGACCTTCATTAGCTCTGAGCCACCCACCCCTTGCCCCCTGGCCCTTCCCTTATCCCACTGAGGGGCAGGGCGAAGCCCTCTGTAAATCAGATTCTCTTCTCCTTTTGGCCTGGCTGTTGGACCCTAGATGCTGCCTGGCTGATGGGGCGTAGGTTCAGTGACCGCTCTCTCTGCTCAGCATCCGCCGGCTCGGATGATCAGTCCCTCTGGAAATACCCGGGTTTGAGGAGCCCCTTTGGGGCTTTTGTTTTTCCAACTTTTGGGGCTAAACCAACACTCCTATCCCACGGGCCCCTTCTCCTGCCTGCATCCCTCCCCTGCCTGCTCTGCTATTCCCTCACCACGGTCCCTACTAACTTCAGGGAAGGGTTCGGAGGTGAGAAGAATCAGCCTGCTCAGCTGAGTGCTTGAGAGAGAACAGCCATGGTGATGGGAGGCTTAGGCTTCTCCTTTCAGCCCAGCTAGACAGATGTCCTGGCGGCCCTTCATCTAGCTGGGCTGAGATGAAAGAGGGAAGGAAAGATCCTCTTCCTCTTTTCTCCTTCTGTGTTCCCCTTCTGTCTCTCTTTCCCCGTCCCTATTCCATGCCTCCTCTTCCCCTTAAGCCTCCCTTTCATGTCTCGAAAGCCACCAGCCATAGAAGCCCTGGCTCCCTAGCTCTCCATCACCATGGAACTGTGTTCTCTTCCTGGTGGCCCTTCCAAGGCTTCTGCCATCCATGTAACCGTGTCCTTTCTCCCATCTTTAGGGAGAAGGCAGGGAGGCCCATATATCAGGGTAGAGGAGAAAAAAACAAAGGTGTGAATTCTATTTTCAACTGGAGCTGGGAGTGAGCCCAAGAGGGATGTTCTAGCACATCTCTAAGTTATCTGGTACCCACATACCCCTTCTCTGGGCATGGTGGCCCTCATCTTCCAAGAGCCTGATCTGCAGCATTGATCCAAGAGCTGGTTCTTTGTTGGGTACATGCTTATTAGAAGAAATTTGGATAGTAAAAAGAGTAAATGTGGGCATAAAAAGGTACCTGTAATCCCGTCATATTGAGTACCTTCTCTTTCAGTCTTTTGTCTGTGAATTTTTAAATAATTTTTTTATGTGGTCAAGATAATGATAACCACTACCATTTATTGAGTGCCATGAACTGTGTCAGGTACTTTAAAAATATTATCTTGAAGCCTCAGGACAACCCTGAAGGATTTTGTAAATTAGGAATTAAAATAGGGAAGTAAGTTACTCAAGGTCACAGCTAGAAACAGAAAGGCCTTGTTTCAAATTCCTGTCTTTTTTATTCTATAGCTCAAGGTATTCCTTTTACATGAAATTTGGTAGCCTTTTGTTTTTCCTGAGCATTTTAATAGACATTTTTCTATGTTTTAAAAATCTTCTCATGAGCAGCTTTTTTTTTGGCTGCGCAATGCGGCTTGCAGAATCTTAGTTCCCCAACCAGGGATCGAACCCAGGGCCTGGCAGTGAAAGCGCTGAGTCCTAACCATTGGACCGCCAGGGAATTCCCATAAGCATCATGTTTAATAGCTGTGTAACCTTCCAGCAGTTGGATGTGTTATCATCTTCCTGTCGTTCCACCTTTATTTTTACTTTCATACAATTGTTAATAATGATGTGATGAGCATGTCTGTGTATAAATCCTTGTCTGAGTTGTGAATTATTTCCTGAGTTTGGCTTTCTAAAAAGGCTGGTTCTTAGTGCCCTCCCGGACCTTGTCCCAAACCCCTATCCTACCCCGTCCTGCCTGTGCCCTCCCACTAACTGCCTTACCATCTCCCTTCATAGTAATGTTGGCCCTAGGTCTGCTTCCATTGGAATTGCCATTAAAACTGACCTGGGTACCTCATCTTCAACTTCCCCTTCCTTTTAGGACCCCTGGTGGGAGGTTTCGGGGAGGAGGCGCCCCATTCTCCAGATTGGCCACTGAAGGCCCAGAGTGGTCTCCAGTAAGCATTTCTCCATGGGCAAACCTGCTTGCCACCAGCCCAAAGTAGGCTGGCCCTTCCTCACACTTTCTTCACTCTCCTTGCAGCCCCCAGCCTGCAGAGCAGCAGCGTCCGGCAGCGCCTGACGGAACCACAGCATGGCCTGGGATCTCAGAGGTTGGTAGAGGGCGAGGCTGGCCGCTTCTTGACAAGCCGGGTCTCTCTGCGGCGAATGCGCAGCCTTTCATCTGGACAGTCTTTCAGTTCTGAAGGCCTCGGGACCAGCGCTCCATCTGCCTCTGCTTCTTCTTCCTGCTCCTCTACCACCACCACCACTGCCACCACCTCCAGCACCATCACCACCACCACCACCTCCATCACCACCGTCCACATCCACCCTGTTTATTACCACCACAGCACTTCCTATTTCCTCCAGATGGAGCCCTACCCTGACCCACCCCCTTCTGACAGCACCGCTGTGATGCCTTGGCATTCAGAGACCTTGGGGTACCAGCTGTCTCTCTTCTCTTTCCTTTCTCCCTTCCTTGCCCCTCTGCTGCCTTTACCTCGGCCTTTGCCTGCTGGCTGCTGCTTGGTCAGCTGCGGGGTGTGTGTGTGCGGTGGGGCACTTCTCCTTGTCCTATCCTTTCCCAGCCTGCGAATCCTCCTTAAGGTCAGCCTAACTCCCTAAGGCTTTCTTCCCTTCTCTGTTTGGGGTTTGCTGACTCTAAACATGAGTAACAACCCCGCTGCCTCACGGTCCTATAGCACCTTGGCCTAAACTTTCACATCTGTTATCTCAATGGAGTCCTCACTTCCTTCACACCCTCAACGAACATTTATTGATACCTACTCTGCCAGGCTCTGCTGGGCATGGGGATTCGTAGATGATAAGATACAATCCCAGCCATCAAGAATTGCAGTCTGGTCTGGGAGAGGTACATAAATGATTCTGGAACAGTTTGATAAGTGCTAAGGGGGTGTTGAAGAAGGAATGGCTAACAGTGTGAACCCGGGTGGAATGCTTCACAAGAGAGATGACATTTGTGCTGGCACCCTGTGTGCAGGCAAAGGAGAAAGTGTATTCTAGGCAGAGGAAACACATGCACAGGCATAGAATTTCAAGAGAACCTGATCTACGTGTGGTTAGAACATTGGCTATGTGTTGGTGGGAAGGGGTAGCAGATGAGGCTAGAATGATGAGGGGTTCTGAAAGGACACGGGCTTTGGCCATTACCCTTTAGGAGACGGAGAACTGCAAAGGGGTTTTTAGAAGAAAGTGAATTGGTCATATTTGCACTTTAGAAATAACATTTTAGTGGCCTGTATAAAGGAAACAATGGGGAGACTACAGGAATTTGGAAGTCATTGCAGTAGGCCATCAGGGGAGGTAACAAGGTCTTGGTATAGAAACAAGAGGATTAATTTGGTAACTGGCTTTGAGGGGCGGAGGAGAGGAAGGAGTGTAGGATGATGCCCAGGTTTCTAGCTTGGGTGACCGAATGGATGTAGTACCCTTCATGGAATTACTCTTCAGAAGGGAGGGAAACAGATTTAGGGGTTTTGGACAAGCGAGGTTTATAGGTCGGGCCGGCATTAAAAACACTCACGTCTGAGAAGGAAGTTAAGGTTCTGAAAGGTTAAGTAATTTTCCCCAGGTCCCAAAGCTAATTAGGAGCAGAACACAGACTAGGACTTGACTTTCCATTCCAGGACACTCTGTCGGATATTTTTGTCCTTTCACAAGGTCTCAGTAAGTGAACTGTATCAGAACTGGTGAAAGGCTTTCTCCCACAGCCTGGTGTGGCAGCTGCAGGGACTTTCCCTGCTATAGCTCAAGGTGATAGGCTAGGGTCAGATATAGTAGCCTTGACCTCACCTGAACAAGCTTAGAGGACCCTCAGGAAGTCCCTCTCCTCTGGAAGGACCTCTCATCTCTGAAGCTGTGGCCACGGCTCAATCCTGGTCTCTGGGTTGCAGCCGCCTTACCCTGTTGCTTCCTTTTGGTCCTGCCTCACCCTGGATGCCAATCTCTCTAGCTCTGCCCCTCGAACCTCTGGATAATTATCCTTGAAGGCTGTTCCTTTCTCTTTCACAAAAGGACAGCCTTTACTAGAAGCAGAGCTACTCATCTTCATCCTCACCCTCATCTTCATCCAAAAGCCTAGGCAGGGAGACTGCCCTTCCCAGTACAGATGGAGAGGACTGAAGTGGGTTGGGGGCACTAGAGGATGCTGTGAATCTCACGCTCCAAGGCCCAGGCTGAGGGCAGTGGGGGGGGGGGGGGGGGGAAGTACGTGCCTCTGCCTGGCCTGTTCACTACTGAATTTTCTTTTGCACCATGCATCAGAGGATCGTCTCTAAAGGCAAACAGGCTCTCTAGTAAGGTTAGTAGCTTGGGGTGGGAGCCCAAGGCAGCCCAACCTTTGGGGAGGGACACCCCTGACCTGAATTGTCTCAAAGACTCAGGGAGGGAAGGTGAGCTTGCCTCAATGGGCCTTTCCCCTCCTATATCCACCCAGGCTTCCTCCCAGGTTCTTTCGTTGATGATGGAGGCACAGAGGGATGGGAATCATGACCAAATGGGGCAGTGGGCCAGGGGGAGTGAGTCTGGGTAGACCCCAACCTCTTGACCTCTCGTCCTTCCTTGGTATTAGAAAGGTGGGCTCCTAGGATCCTCACCTCCTCAGCCTAGAGGGCCCCTCTTCCCGGTGTGGCTGCCCCCCAGAATTTCCTTGGCACCATGCTCAGTGGTTCACACCTGTGTGGCAAAGGCAGGATACGGAGAGGGTCATCTTGGGACTTAGAGAAACAAGGACACATTTAGATAGAAGCAAGGACACCATCTGAAATATGAAAGCAAATATGAGACCGTTCATAAACACTAGAGTACGTGGCTGAAACAGTATTTGGAATGGGAGTTGGAGCTGGGATTGTTCTCTGCTATCCCCTGTCTTCAGCAAGGTACTGGCCCACAGCCTGGCTGCTTAAGTTAATTGTTTCCTGCTGAGAATTAAACCTATAATAACTATTAGTCAACCTCCTGCTTTTGCCTGTTTTTGGAGCCTGGTGCCCTCCCTAATTTTTCCACCCACAGCCTCCTTCTTTCCGGGTCCTGCTGTGCTCTCCTCTCCCACTCATGACCCTTTCCCTTTGGTTTCCTGACTTGGATGTTTAAACATTTCCCTTAGCCCTCTCCTCTGCCTCTGCCATGGGTTCTCAGGCCTCTGGGAAAGGAGAAGGAGGGTTACGGGATTGGAAGGGGACTCCCATATCTACCCTCTTGTCTATAGAGGCAGGAGGTGTGGCGTCCAGAATTAGTTCGTGGTCTTCTTAGGAACAGCCAGCCCCTTAAAGGGTCTCGACTATCCTGGACTGCCTCTGTGTGTGCACGTCCAGTGTGCAGTGCCGTGTCCCCGTAGCTCAGCCTTGCAAAGAAACCTCTTGTGACTGGCCCACGGAAGGGTCTTCCTGCTTGACTGGCCTCATCATCTTCATTCCCACAATACTTTCTACATTTTCAAGTGCTTTGCCAACATATTTGGGCCTCCAAACAGTCTTGCAAGATAATTGAATCGGTGTTATCTTCATTTGGCCAAAATTGAGGACCAGCAAGGTTAGATGACTTGTCCAAGGTCATACAGCAAGCCTCAGGCAGAGATGGAAATTGAATTAGACCTTAGGACTTCCAGCGTGCAGCTTTTCTGAACCACTGCTCCTTAAAGGCCAATGTCCTGTCTTTCTATGCCTCCCTACGTTCTCCCCGTCTGCAGAGCTCTGAAAAAGACCCCAGCCTTCCTGCTGTCAGCCAGCTTTGGTTTGAATGCTGAAACACTTCTCTGTGACCTCCTTTAAATCCTGACAGAGGGTTGGAAGAGGCAGCATCTTGGCCTTTTGGGGTGGGTGAGGGATTGTTTGCAAGGCTGTTCTTACTTTTCTCTCCCCAGGCTGGGTCAGGCTCACTTATTGCATGTGCCCTGTTCCTTGGGGCCTGGCCCAGACTGGATGTGTCCCAGGGGTGACAGGAGTAAATGGGGGAGGGAGGCATGGAAAATGGTGACTCAGAGAAATATACGGGTTCTGGGTTAGCTTAGGGTGCAGTTGTAAGAAATCTAGCCAGCTATGGAAGCAGAGATTTTATTGAGGAGGATGCCTGTGGCATTGAAGCCAATGGTTGCACCGGTTTAGGGCCTGGCCATTCATCAGGGGTGGGGCGCAGGCCTTAGAAAGCCCTTTGCCAGAAAGATAATGGTATAATGACATTTGTTTTTGATTCTTGTCTGTCTCTTCTCTCTCCATCACTTTTGCCTCTTTCTTTTCTTCTCTCCCCTTGGTCCTCCTTATTTCTACCTGCTTCTCCTTTTGCTTTTCTTCCTCCCCAATTTTACTCTTTTCTCCTTATCTCTTCTCCAATCTATCCTTATTCCCTATTCCTTCCTTCTCTCTTATCTCGTGCTTATGGCCTGCTCAACTTCCCTCTGTTTCTCATTCTTCCCTCTTTCCCACCTGCTATTCACCCTATTTTATCTCTCCTGCCCCTCTCTCCATCCCCATTTTCCTACTGTGCCCTTGTCTTCTCTCTTGGCCCCTGTCTCCTCTTCAAATTCCCCCCTGCCCCCCCATCCTCTATGCGTCCCTTTCTTCCTCTCTGACCTCTCTTACAGGGATTTGACCCATTCCGATTCGGAGTCCTCCCTCCACATGAGTGACCGCCAGCGTCTGGTCCTCAAGCCTCCTCAGATGGTCCGTGCTGCAGATGAGGCTCTCAGTGCCATGACTTCTAACGGCAGCCACCGGCTGATTGAGGGGGTCCATCCCGCCTCTCTGGTGGAGAAACTGCCTGACAGCCCTGCCCTGGCCAAGAAGGCACTGCTGGCACTGAACCACGGGCTGGACAAGGCCCACAGCCTGATGGAGCTGAGCTCCCCAGCCCCACCTAGTGGTTCTCCACATTTGGATTCTTCCCGTTCTCACAGCCCCAGTTCCCCAGACCCAGACACGCCGTCTCCGGCTGGGGACAGCAGAGCCCTGCAGTCTAGCCGAAATACACGTATTCCCCACCTGGCTGGCAAGAAGGCTGTGGCTGAGGAGGATAATGGCTCCATTGGTGAGGAGACAGACTCCAGCCCAGGCCGGAAGAAGTTTCCCCTCAAAATCTTTAAGAAGCCTCTTAAGAAGTAGGCAGGATGAGGGTGGCAGTTGTGGGACAGCTTGTCCTCACCTGGTCTTCTGCCTCCCCTTCCCTCCCTTCCAACATACCTGGCCCCCAGCATGGGGCATGGGAGGGGCTGGCCCTGGGGCCTGGGCACTGTACATACTTGCCCCCCGTATCCTTGGGTCCTTCAACATTATTTATTAACTGACCACCATGGCCTGCCTGCCCTGCCTCCCTCCCAACCATGGGCTGCTGCTGTCACTCCCTCTCCACTTCAGTGCATGTCTTAGTTGCTGCCCCCTCAGCTCTCAGTCCACCTCTGGGGTCCAGCTTCTGTCTCTGCTGTCCCAGTTTTGAGGTTTGGTTTCTTGTTTCTCTCTGTCTCCTGCTTTTGGACTCCCCCCCGCCCCGCCACTCCCCAACTTCCCCTAGAGGCTAGGGGGGAAGAGAGGGGCAGTAACTTCTGACACCTGTGCCTCAGATCTCTTCCACCTCACCGACCATGGTTCTGTTTGCCCCAGACTGGGGCCTAGGACCTAATATTTGCAGTTTGCTCTCTGGGAGTGTGGTGGGCCAGAGGGAACCTCAGCCTGGAGCTCACTGAGGCCTCCAGGGGTCCATGGGGGAGCGAAACCAACTCCCACAGGACAAGCCACTAGAGTTCTGAAGAGAGGCTAGGCTAGGGGATAGATCGGAAGAGACTTCTAGTTGGAGGATGAGTGGAAGCCAGAGGTGTGGGCTACAAAGCAGTCACCTTTTCTCTCTTCTCTCACTCACACCTGCCTCTCTCTTATCCCCGCTCCCCCACCCTGCAGGAGGGTTTGTCTATAAGAGGCGCTGCCCAAATGCTCCCCAAGCCTCATTACTCCTGAGGCTCAGGACAGTGGGCTCCCATGGCCGTGGGAGCCTCAGCTATGATACAGGGCTCTAATGGGGCCTTGGAGCTGCTGGGCAGGATGTTGTCACATTTGAACCAAAAGACAGTTTAAAGTTGAAAAATGAAATCTCCTGAATTTCCCAAGTGCCTGCACTGCATACTTGCCCTGTGAGACCCCATTTTCATGTTACTGCATATCTTGGGCCAGAGGCTCAAGAAGGACACAGCCGGTTTAGGGAAGGGGGTGGCTAAGGAAGATGGTGTAGGTCAAGGTGGCTGTGTGACCACTCCCCCGCCCTTCCCACCCTCTAGACAACTCTCTCCCTTCCCTGTTTTTGCAATGGCTGTAAAGGTATTTTCCCTCTGCCCCACTCCCTGCCGTGTCTTTACTCTGGGATCCTATTTTGGGCCTGGGGTGGGGGCACCTGGGGCTGGTCTTGGGAGGGTGCTAGGCTGCAGACTGCCTTGTACCCCCTGGACACCCTCACATGGGTTTTTCTGTGTTATTTCATAAGACTCTTTGAAGTCCAATAAAGCATGTAGGAGATTTTAACCTCTGCTGGCTTTGACTGACTCTCCTTGTGTTCTCTGTGCTCTTTGTGGCACAGCAGACAGGATGAAGAGACATTTCTCTGCTGCCAAAGGAAAGTGAAACTCTCATACACATTCCCAAAAGCTCTCTGGGTAGGGTTACCAGATGAAATACAGGATACAGTAGTTGAATATTAGACAAACAAATAAATTTTTAGTATAATTATGTCCCATGAAATATTGGGGATACATTTTTATTAGCTAAATCTGGCAACCCTATCTCTAGGCCATCTGACCCTATCTATCATATGGCTTCACTTATCACCTGTGACTGTTAGAATTACAGGCATAACTCATTTTATTGCACTTCGCGAGTATTGCATTTTTTACAGATTGAAGATTTGTGGCAAGCAAGTCTTATCAGCACCATTTTTCTAACAGCATTTGCTTGCTTCACGTCTCTGTGTCACATTTGGTAATTCTTGCAATATTTCAAACCCTCCACCAGCCAAAAGATGACCACCTGCTGAAGGCTCAGATGGTGGTTAACATTTTTTAGCAACAAAGTATTTTTTATTAAGGTATGTACATTTTTTTAATAGACATAATGCTATTGCACCCTTAATAGACTACAGTATAGTGTAAATATAACTTTTATATGCACCGGGAAACCAAAAAGTTTGTGTGACTTGCTTTATTGTGATATTGCTATATTGCAGTTGTCTGGAACCAATATCTTTGAGGTACCACTGTACTTCACAGGAACCTTGGAACCACCTTGAGGGCAGTAAGGAACCAGTGAAAGGTTTTAGGGAGGGGATGCCACGTGAGATATCATAAAAATCAGTCTGCCTAGCCCAAATCGGAAGCTTCTACACCAGCCTTGTGAGTCATGTCTCACCTATTCTGACTCCCCACATTCGGTAACCAAGTCCTGTCCATTCTACCTCCACGAGCCACATCCACTGGATAATTCTAAAAGCAAATGGATCATAGCCCTGCCCTGCTCAAAACTCTGCCAGGGCTCGTTCCCATTTCCGTCAAGATAAACTCCAAAGGCCCTTGGCCTAGCAAGGCTCTCTTCCAACCTGACTTGAGTGCGAGATTTCAGGCCGCCCGAAGGGCCCTGGGGCCCTCCGGCTGCGGATCTCAGGCTAGAGCTCAGCTCGGACGGCAGTCTTGGGTTATCATCACGTAACAGTCTTCAAGACAAGAAAAAGCGGACGGTTGGGGTTTTGCTATTTCAAAAATACTCGAACCGCCCTGACTTCCGCGGGGCCTGCCGGCAAGAGAGGCGGAGCCACGCCTGGCCTGCCTCTGCGCGCTACGTCCGGCCGCGGAGCCCCAGATAGGGCTTTGCCCACACCCAACATGGCGGCCGAAGAGCGGCGTTCCCGCCGGGCGCACCCACACCTAACACGACCGTGGGAGAGGCGCCGTCTCCTGGGCCCTGCCCACACTCAACATGGCGGTTGTGGGATCGACTCTCTTACGCTAGGCCTGCCCGCCGGCCGCGGCGCTGGCGGCATCGCATAACTTCCTGCGAGCTCTGTCGCGCCCCTTTTGCGTTGTGGCTGGCGGGAGCGGGAAGAGGATTCGGATTGCCTTGCCCTGTTCTGTGGAGGGAAAGTGCGCTCTGGCCCTAACGCCAGGCCCTGCACCCGAGCAACCCCTCGAGCCTGACCTTCCGCACTCTGCCACCTTCTCGATCCTGCCGGCGCGTCAGAGCTGCAGCCGCGTCTCGCATCCCTCGGCGCCTCAGCCACTAGCTGCGATGCATGTTATCAAGCGAGGTGAGACGCCGGGGAGGGGGCGGTGGGGGAGGTACGCGGGCTGCCGCCGCCCTAGCAGTTAGCCGCGCCCGCCCGCCTCCGCCGCTTCCCGCGCTGCCGGCGGCAGCTTCCCGCCCTGTCACCTTCTCGGCCTCCTGCCCTTTCGTCAGTCTGTCCCCAACCCCCCTCTGACCTTTAGTCTGCGCCCCGTGGCTCTGCCATCCGGCCGCATGTCGAAAGGGTAACACCTTCCCTTTAGCGAATAGTAGCTGTGCGCGCACAGCTCTTTGCAGGCGGTACTTGATTCCTCACCGGGAGCCCCTGAGGTAGGGGTTATTGGGTCCGCCTCGCGGGTGAAGATACTGAAGCGCAGAGAGGTGCGGAGACTGCACGGTCACCCGGTTCGATGCTGGTGAGGCCAGGCTTCGAACCCATAGCGAACAACAGAGTTTTATTTGAAAGGCTTGGTCACCTGTCCTAGGCACGGGGCGATCTAGTGAAGCAGGGGCTCTGCACCCTACACGGGCACCTAGCAGCTTCCTGAGCTCTTTTGTGGGGTGAAAAACGTCAGGCTCAGATACAGACATCTCCACGGAGTTTGCCCTTCGTGAGGGATGTGTTGCCGTTTGCCCCAGGAGTGGTCCCAGAGGAGTTTGGGATCGGGACTGGCTGGCCTTACCCTTGATGGGAAGAGATATGGAATTAGAGTAGGGTGGCCAAGACATCTTCTGGCAGCGTGGGGGACCGGGAAGGGCCAGGGACTTGTGTTCTTCCTCAACACTTATTTCCCGTTAGGCTTGCTGAGTACCTTCCTTTGTGTCAGTCCTTTGCTTGATTCTGTGAAATTAATTATAAGAGGAGACAGACTTGCGTCCGGAAAAGATTTAATCAGGTTGGAAAAACAAGAGCAAAACATACTCTTAACAGAGAACCATATGGGACAGGTACGAACACGTTTTGAGTCGACTCTACTTGCCTCTGTTGAAGCAAAGAAGTTATTTCAAAATTGTAGGCACTTAGTGAACACTGATTGACTGATTGTTTTGTCCACTAGGCTGTGAGTGTTTCAAAGATGAGGACTTTATGCCCACACTTAGCACAGGACCTGCCATGAATATAGATGCTCATTCATGAGTGGATGAGAATAATTATTTTAAAATATAGGATATCATGAGTGTTGTGAGTAGGCAGGTAGTTGATTTGGTTGTAACTAGGTGGCGTACAGCTGAGAGATGGACAGTGGTGGACCTTCCTGGCATCAGTATCTTTAGAACATCATTCTCTGAATTTCCCAAGTCTCCCGTTTTAGCTGATGAGACCAAAGATCAAAATACATAGTGCACTTTTATTGGTCCATACCTGTGAATGAGAGAGGAGCATTCAGTTTTTTAGACCTTTAGAAAAAGGTATGTAAGTATGAGGAGCCCTTATGATAAATCTGTAACAGATGAATTGACAACTTGTGGACTTAGATCTCTGGAGTGGGTAACACCTCTGTGTTGCATTTTTAACCTTTTGGGTCCACTTTCAAATACTGTGGTTTAAAAAGTACTATCTACAACAAACAAAAGGCAGGTCTTATTTTGTTTCTCATTCCTTCAGAGAACCTAATATGATCCAGATGGTTTGCTGCTAGACTCTGCCAGCCTTGTTTTTTCTTTTCTTTTCTTTTCTTTTTTATTAGTTATCTATTTTATACATATTAGTGTATATATGTCAATCCCAGTCTCCCAATTCATACACACACACCCCGCCCCCCAGCGCTTTCCTCCCTTGTCCATAGGTTTATTCCCTACCTCTGTGTCTCTATTTCTGCCTTGCAAACTGGTTCATCTGTAAAAGCTTGTTAATATACAACATTGTACTTAGATTTGTTTCTTTATTTTATTTTTGATCTTTAGTTTGCTTAGGGTATCCACCGCCCCCCCCCCCATTTCTGGCATGATAGTGTAGTAGCAGACTAACTCAGGTAGGTTTTGTTCATCTTAATGTGATTATTCAGGAGGGCAACTAGCAGCCTACCTAAAGTATTACTTACTGAATGTGCTAATATCTTGCTTAGCACCATGAGGGAAATAATAGAGGGAGAAGGCATCTCCATCTTCCATGATCTTAGGGCTGTTAGGGATGCAGGAATAATCCATATGAAAATTGTTAGATAACAGAAGGGAATAGTAGATGAGTTTTTCTCATCTGCTGTCTTGGGCTATTTTTCTTGGTGGGACAGTATCGTATTGCTCAAGGAGATTAAGGTTAAAAAAAAAAGTTGAGAACCAATGGAACAAATGCAGTGTAGCTGAGTTGAAAAGTTTGCTTTGGACTTTAGTATAGTGTTTTCAAAACTTTGCATTTTACATCATGACTGAGTACACACACGTATATGTAAATATTTACGTAAAACTGAAACAAAAGTTTGCAATAATACCTTTTAAAGCATCTGTTTGCCCTCTGATAATCTCTTCTATTCCATATCCTTTGTCTATCCCTCCCTCTCTTCTCCCTTCCTCTCTCCCATCCTTTCTAATTCCCTTTACAGCCCACTGTGTTACTATATTTTACAGATCTGTGTGGATACTGTGCTGGGCACTGAGGTTACAGTGGTGAGTAGGCAGACATAGGTCTTGTTTTCAAAAATCTTTACAATCAATTGAGAAAGATAGACAAGAACAATAATATAATAAAATATGTTCAATATTCTAATAGGTAAAGTATAGGCTATAGAAGCCCATTCATTCAATTATTCAGAAGGTATTTACAGTCATTCCTCAGTATCCATGGGCATTTGGTTCCAGGACCTGCTGTGGATACCAAAATCCGTGTATGCTCAAGTCCCATAGTAGTCCCTCGGCCTCGATGGGTTTTGCATCTGTGAGTTCCAGTTCCCCATCCAGGGCTCCAACCAACTGTGGATCGTAAATTGTACATGATCCACGGTTGGTTGAATCTGTTCACGTGGAACCCATGGATACAGAGGGCTGACTGTATTCAGCATCTCTTTATGCCAGGAACTGTTTTAGGTACTGGGCATTCAGCAGTGAACAAAACAAGCTAAATCCCTTTTCTCATTGGAGTTTACATTCTGCGGTGAGTGACAGTAGTTAAGTGTATATAAGAAACAAGTAAACATGTAAGAATCAGTTAATTCCAGATAGTGGTTAGTGAGATGATGGTAGTAAAACAGGGTAATGTGATAAAGATGAATGAGAAAGTAATCTTGGTTTGTATCCTCAGGGAGGGAGCTGACATTTGATCTGA